GAAATATTGGATAATCGTTCTTGTCCGATAGTTAATCTTAAATAATTTTTTATTAAGTTTAACTTGCTAAAACTTCTCTCGCACGAAGCAATAGAAACGGGAAGAGTTAGAAATATTCGAAGAGCGACATTGATATTTGGGTAAGACTCAATTAAACCAAAATCATGAAGAGCCTGTAGAATATTAAGCGGAGATGCAGTTTCTATATTTTGTATAAGAGTCGTTACTTCAAAATTAAAACTTTCAATTTCATTTGTGAATTCGTACTTTTTAAAATCTTTGCTATATTTATAGCGAAATCTGCTGCCGATTTTTTAAAATCAGCAACACTTATGTATTGTAAAGACGAGCCACAGAGAAAGCAAAAATCGTCACTGATAGTTTTCATTTTTTCATAACGCCAATCTATTTGACACAGTAGAGTGTCAAGAGTACTGTAGATTTGTATTTTAAATAATTTTTCGGGTGTCCAGTTACTTCCTTCATCTGGTGTTTTATCTATTTCCATTATCTTATTTTTTTTCATTTATTAAGAAATCCCTTTTCTATATTTTTGCTTTGTTTTAAGAATATGATCGATAATAGCATCTGTTAATATTGTTGATCATAAAGCTATATCATTTATTACTTCCATGTAGCTACACACAGTGGTGCCTAGTATAACGTAGTTAACCCCCTGCTACTGTCTAATTTTTGATATTAATGTAATTAAACATAAAAAAATGTTTAAAACTGAAAAAACGAAAAAAATGCGTTAATTTTGAAGAAAAAGCCTCAAACTTTATTTTCCATTGTCTCTCCTTTCTGCGAAATTTGACACCAATGAGTCATTGTTTACACAGCTGGATGACCTTGAGAACAGCTGGTGTCCGATTTCCCAGGACATTCTCATAGACATCTCCGGAGGACAAGGGTTTAAAGCAGGGTGAATACTAGCTGGCCCTATATTTTTAAATATTTTTAAAAAATTCAAATTTTTATTGCAATTTCCGACTCCCCGACTTAATTAAACGTATATATATAATAAAATCTATCAATTAAAAAAATTAAAAACTATTGGAGGTCGTTTTTGATATCAGAAAGTAGCTTTAAATAACTTTACCGAAGTAAAATCCGTGCACTACAACTTTAGAACGATTAATTAAATTTGATTAAAAAAAATCGCATTAAAAAACAATTAAGCGTTAATCGTGCGTCATTAAAGGTAAATTAAAATCGCGATT